CCCGGTTCCTACCCCTTCATGTGACTTCCGGGTATCCCTGGAAGTTTTTCTGATATTGTGGCCACTGTGGGAAGATGAGAAGTTAGCTTCCTTCTCATCTCCTTACCCACAGTAGGCAAGTGTATTCTACATTGCCTTTATCTATTCATCTCCTTACCCACAGTAGATTGTGCCCTGGATAGGGCTGGCCTGACCTGAGGCTGTGGGCCATAGGGGAGGGTCATGGGGACCCGGGAGTCATCCCCTGACAGCAGAAGGAAGCTTCAACAATCGCCCCTGCCCACCTAGGATGTCCCGCATGGGCTGCAAGAGCCCGGACTGAGTCGGAGCTGGGCACGGGCCGCGTGTGCGATTTTCGAGTGGCAGCTGTGCCACATCATCACTTCCCCCAGACCATTACACGTTCTTTACTCGCAACACAGCCACACCCCTGCTATCCCGGCCCCTTGCAACACTGTCCTGCAGATTGCACACCAATCTGTGAGGTTGAGTTGAGGGTCATCCCACTGCTACCTGGACACCTCGCTGACGCTGTAGGCAGGATAATCGCCCACATGCAGAGCCGGCTCAGATACCCACTTCCAACATTCAGAAACCACTTCCATTCACGCAACAACTCGATACGAATTTGGTATCCAAAAATAGTGCTAATTCGTATGATTCTGACGATACCAAGAACGTCCCAATCGGTGGAGATTTGACGGAGTTCTATGTTGGGCAAGTTAGGCACGGGCATGTGCGGGCGTGGGAATCTCAAGCGGCAACCCAGAATTCCAGCCTCACTCGTTCCCACGGCGTCCAATAAATTGGTAAAAATGCTCATTGGCTGCGTGAGAGTTATCTCCGGCTTCATTTCCAATTTTGGCCTTTAATTCCGTAAATCCGTTGAGATATCGCTTATTTTCTTATATTTTCATATTTTTGCATCATTTCAGTTATTGATCAATATTCTTTTATTGATACTGTTACCCTTTTTTATTATTTCGCCTAATAAGGTATGCAGGTGCCATATGGTACCAATATTCACCATACCGGATTTTTGAAAAGAAGTTCTCCCCTCCCCCAAAATTCTCTAAGGTGCTAGGACGCACTAGAGTGGGTGTGAGTGTGTGGAATTCCAACAGTAGGAATAAGGGCAACAATCTAGCCTGCAACGAGTGGGTAGTGGATTTGTTGAGCCCGGACCTTGCGGAACTCCCAGAGAACCCACACAGAGTTAAGGATCGAGAACGTAGCGAGTTTAGTGGAGAAAGTAGAGTTTAGGGAGAGTTGTCCCCCACAAGCTGTGTCGGCATAGAGAGCCACGAGCCCTCTTTCAACGTGCTAAGGAGACATAGCCACCCGACTGTTGCCAACGTACCGGCCTTCTGGAAACGGGGTCGCCCACCTGCTACCAGCCTCGTAACCACAGACGCAAGAATGATGACCCGCTAGAGACCACCAACCCGGTTCCCCACGTTATCCCACCGCTACCCGGACACCTCGCTGAACGTGCTAGGGAGACAAAGCCACCTGACTGCTGCCAACGAACTGGCCAAAAGGCACTCTGGAAACGGGGTCACCCACCTGCTGCCAGCCTCGTAACTGCAGACGCCCAAGATAACCTGGATGAGACCACCCACCCCCGCTTTCACTTGCGACTGAGAGTTGCGCGCGCATGCAAGCGCCGCTTTTTGGATTCATGACGGAGAATGAGCACGAGAGGGAATGGATGCCGCTGGTGAGGGTGCCCAGGATCCCTGCTATGGCCGCTTAGGCATGCGGCATAGAGGGAGGGTTGTGTATCCCAGCTGCATCACGGACCCACTATGGCTCACGGACCCGACTCCCTGTGGTGCCGGGCACCCAGGAGAGAGTTTGACATTGGAATTTCGATGGAGGATGGATATGAGAGGTGAAGGATAGGAGCTGACAAAGGAGCCCGAGGTCCCCTGCTGTGACCACTTGGGAATGCGGCACAGAGGGAGGGTGGTGCTCAGCCCACATCAAGTAACCCCACTGTCCACGCACCCGGACTCCCCAGTGCGCAAGATGCACTTGGGGGAGAGTTGTTTTTCACATGCGAACCCCGCACCACCCGGTCCCGGGCCCGACTATACCGCATACCCGCTACCGACCCTGAAATTTTTTTTTCCCTTTTCCACATTCTCCCCATCCACCCCTGAAGAGGAGCCCAGCATCCCAGGCAACGGACCACCATGCGCAGAGGAGGGGGGAGGGGGGGTTTTCTGAGGTTTAGCCACTTCGGGGCGAAGTGGCATTAGAGGGAGTGTGGGGAGTGGGGTGCAGACCCTGCCAGATCCCCTGGGACTCTCCCACTATCGCCGCTACCTCAGCGCTACCACACCCCCGACCCTGCATACCCGGAGGAGCGCAGCCTGGAGGTCAGAGTGCAGGCACACAGACGATGGCCTGGAGGTCAAGTGCTGCACGACCACCCTCCATACCCGAAGCGGGCGCAGCCCCAAGGCCGGACACGATCACGGGGACGACATGACTGCAGCTGGGGCATCATGGGATGATGAGGGATGCAGGCTGGAGGTCGCCGAGTCGTGAGCAGACAATGGAGGGTGCTGAGGGACCGAATTTTTTTCGGGCAAGTCTTAGGGGAGCGCCGCATATGCGGCGATGGACGACTAGTTTAATCTTTTTAACTTAACTTTTATTTTTTCGCCGCCCTTTTTTTAACTTAGAATACTTTTATACTCCCACCCTTACATTATCCCCCGCTCCTGCTCCCGCCTCCGCTTTTTTGTTTTGTTCTAACCACTTGAGGGATGGGTTACCTGGGGACTAGGGCCACTTCGGGGCGAAGTGGCTTAGAGGGAGGGTGATGTCAGGGCACACACCCTGACTAACCCGGACCCGGACCCGCGTCCGGACCCGCTTCCACCTGCTGCACTTCCCACATGTGCGCACGCTCCACGCACCGCATGCTCCGGGCCTGGTTCCTACCCCTTCATGTGACTTCCAGGTATCCCCGGAAGTTTTGCTGATATTGTGGCCACTGTGGGAAGATGAGAAGTTAGCTTCCTTCTCATCTCCTTACCCACAGTAGGCAAGTGTATTCTACATTGCCTTTATCTATTCATCTCCTTACCCACAGTAGATTGTGCCCTGGATAGGGCTGGCCTGACCTGAGGCTATGGGCCATAGGGGAGGGTCATGGGGACCTGGGAGTCGTCCCCTGACAGAAATCAACCGTAGAATAGAAATAGAGAGAAAGGGGGAAAATGGGAAAGGAGGGACAGGGAGTGATAGTGGGGGAAGTGGAGTAGTGCAGTACAGTGCGGGGTGCGGCACAGGGTCAGGCAGGTGTGCCCTGACAAAAGGGGGTAAAGTAGGTGGGGAGTCCGGGGCACCCTAAGGCAGGGTGCTGAACCCTGACATCGTTTCCTCATGCTTTTGCCCTCTCCATTATATACTGGCACTTGTACATACTCGTTTTAGGCCCTTAGTCTAAAATCGACCTGAAATGCCCCCTAGAGACTTCCTGCTCAACACCTCTGAAATTAAGGACCAAATGGACAAACAGCAATGGCACAGCACTCTGCATGAGTCGCTGAGGCCAAGGTCCCTCCTTGCTAAGTCTCCGGTTCCCCTCTGGAATCATCTGCCCTCGCCCAGTTCTAACAGATGGGACCCCCATCAGTTGATGGGTTTGGAGGTGGGTTTTCCACCATTACTGCAGATGGCTTTGGCTCGTCACATCGAGAGAGCGCAAGGAGGATTTCATTTAGTTTCTCGTTTAATCTTTCTTCCACCTTAATGATGTTGTGATCTAAACGAGCAATGTTATCGCTATTCCCAGAGATCTGGGTATTCATGTTACAGACATCGCCCCTCAAGTTGGTGATGTCTTTGTCGACTTGGTCAATGTGATTTCTTAATACTCGCACCGTTTCAGACATGAGGGAGTGGGTTGGGGATGGAGGACGCAACGTGCACACCTTGGGACGTATGCTGTGAGAGTCTCAGCTACAAGGGCTTCAGACGTTGTAACTTGGTCAACATCTCTCAGATAAATTCGATGCCTATGGCCAGTGGAGGGGCCAGCCGTGTTGGTGGGAGCGTTAGATGTGCTCCTGGTGTTGTATCTCAACAGCATCAAGAGGATGTGTCAAGTCATTCAACAAGTTCGCATGAGAACTTGATCAAAGTTGCACATTGTCAGGGGCCGACGATGCATGCGTTGCCAAATGGAGTTTTGGTGCTGGTAACGCGGTGCCGAGAATGGAAAGGAAAATAGAGCGTAAAAAAGTGAAGGGTTTCTTACTTGTTTGGGGGATGGTACGTTCCATTCCCCCATTTGCCTCAGGCCTCAGTTAGTCCATCTAGCTATACACTTTTAGTTGCTGTATATTGATGGGGTAGAAGTAAAGGCTGATCTGCCTTTTACAGCTACCCTGAGGGTTTATATACATTCTAATGCATTCTCAGCACAAATAAATAGAGAAGCTTCCATGACGCTAAATTAGCATCGCGACATAATAATCAGACAACACAACATCAATTGATGTTGTGGGCAGAATATAGACATGGGCTGGGGCCTCACACACAGACCCTCAGTCTAAAATCGACTAGAAATGCCCCTAGAGACTTCTCACTCACCACTTCTGAAATTAAGGACCAAATGGACAAACAGCAATGGCACAGCGCTCCCCTTGAGTTGCTGAGGCCAAGGTCCCTCCTTGCTAAGTCTCCGGTTCCACTCCGGAATCGTCCACCCTCACCCTGTTCTAACAGTCACCAAGGCCGGCACCCCATTACAGTAGTACGTAGATAAAGAGGCTCAATATGTTACAATGGCAAGGCCTTGGCAGGTCGTGGCCAAAGTGCAGAGGGTTCAGCATGGGAGGGAAAAGGGTAGGTGGGAGGTCACGTGTCCCGGAGGTTGCCGGATCGTGACAACTTACCCACTTAGTCCTTCGAAGAACGACCTATTCTTTATATTTCACCCTATAGTTCTCCTTTATGGTTAATGCTCCCTCCTAGCTGTCATGTCGTCTTCACAGTACGAGTTTCTGTACAACCCGATTTTACCCTCCGAGGAGATCGTTGCCCACTGCGTGGAGCTCAGCCTCCCCGCGGAACCCCCATCGCCGATCCTTCTGCTAACTCGGTCATTGCCTGGATCAAATGTGGTCCCAACGTTACCATCGACGAGGCGCGCACGCAGCATTGGACCGCCAATGCTCTCCGTGCGGCTGGTGTCTCAGACGTACAAGCCGCTCGCGTATTCCATGCGTTTACGGCAGACTACTACGGGTGCTCAATTGGATACATTGCAATGGAGTACATCGGTGGTATAGACTGTGACTCGAACGACGCCAACCTAGCTGCGAAAGCTGTCCAGGCGTTAATCGGCTCCGAGCTCCACCAACCGCGACACTCGGACACATCGGCGGCGGCACGAGGTCCATTGTTCACTCCTTCTTTCCCGAGTGGCTTCCCAACGTCGATTACCGAACCGACCAGGACTTCTATGCTCATATTCACAATGTAAGTAGTTCGCCAACGTCTCAAGGTGCTATGGCGAACTCAGACCTATGTTAGATCTTTGAATTCCTGCGCATCAAATTCCGCGGCGATATATCGAGTCACGGTCGATTTCTCTGTCCTTCCGATTTCAACTCGGGTAACTTCAGGAAGCGTACGATGGAGGGTGGCCGGTTGGTAGTGGTGGTGTTGGATTTCGGTGCGACGTGCTTCATGCCGCTCCCCTTCATCGAGGTCGCCCTAAAGAAAGCTCGGGACAGCTTTCCCCAATCAGTTGTCGAGAAGATCACGTATCCTCATGGACGGTCGGACGATGCAAAGGTTTTACTCTTCGCCTCTGGTTCTCTTGTTCAGTATGGTATGAGACCAGTCGGTAAGCACGACCTTTCTCACCCTCAGACTGATTTTCATCGCCGTTCAGCACTACCACCGGGCGTCAGTCCCAGAATAAATGGCAGATGACGTGTTGGTTTACCCTACAACTTACGTTACACGAGTACTCTGGTGCTTGGCGCTTTTTGCTGTTTTACGAGCCTTGGTTCAAGTTGCTGTCTTGACATTTGATACGCGTGAATATGTAAAAGGCTTTTCTATGAATGAATATCGTGCATGTTTGTAGCTACGTGCTTTGGGATCCCGATATTGAGTCTCGAGAGATCGAAAGCCGGATCTATATGGCCGACAACCTCCCAATTCTCGCTGATCACGAAGCAGAACGGCTCAATAAGTGTTTAGACTTGAGCATGGAGAAGCCTTCATCACGGTCAAACCACTCGACCAGCTCTAGGAAGTCGGAATTGATCGTTTCAATCTACGATTGAGTTTTCTCACTTATTTCATTTTGGTAATTCGCCCTCGCTGACTGTGATGAACGTACACATTTTATTTTAATATTGATACTCGGAACCGGACAGACAAATAAGCGGCATAACCCTTTCCATGACATGGTGGTCAGATTAATTATTGACTCTAAATCATTTATAGTGAATCAAAGAGAGAAAGGCAATATTAATGGTATAAAGGATATTTGAGAAACTAGATGTGTTTGGGACATAGGGTTTCTTGTGATGAGATCGGGCTGAAGGAATAACACAAAGAGGGCCGGGATGCACGGCCTCCTTGATGCCTGTACAAGTGGATGCATGTTCGCGGGGGGGGTTTAGTCGGGGTGTTGGCATGTTAGCAGAGAAGTTTCAAGCGAGAAAGTGAGCATAAGGGGAGAAGATTGTGACCGCTTGCAATCTTCCCCGATGGAGGGTGGTACATGTCTTTCCCCCTTGTTTCTTAGGCAATTTCTAGGCGCCTTAAATTTCCATCACGTGCTCGGTCCGGGGACTGTCTGCGGAAACTTTGCGGGTCACAGCTCGCGATGTCGGACGCATCAAGTTCGGGGTCTCCGAGTGCCAGCTCTCGCTCCCCTTCCCCCTCTACATCACCCGACCTTTTCCAATCTGTTCCATCAAGCACTGGGCCCAGCAAGCCACTGGTGACTGAGGAAGATAAAGCAGCAGCAGCCACTATTAAAGCTGACGCAAATCATGCATTTCAAAGTCTGTCCTTCTCGTCCCTTATCTACCTCGGTACCCATCAAGAACCCTTTCCTTCATCATAAGATCATAATTTTCTTCTTGCCGTCAAGCTCTACACATCTGCCGCAGAACGAAATCCTTCGGACGGTACGCTGTTCTGCAACCGTACGTTTGGATCATTTGTGGGGCCTCGAAAGTAAGAGCTCTCACCAAGCCTAATAGGTGCGTATGCGCGGATGAAACTCGAGGAGCACGGCTTCGCGATCGAAGATGCAAGTAAGTTCCCCGATTGGATCAATTAGGCTCGAACATCTTACTGGCACAATTCAGCCCGAGCGATAGAGATCGACCCCGGCTACGTCAAAGCATACTACAGACGGGCCTTATGTCAGCTCGCTGTGCTTAGACCTCAGTTTGCCATCCCTGACTTCAAAAAATGTCTCGCTCTTGATCCCCATAACAAGCTTGCCAAGACCCAGCTTGATGCAACGACAAAGCTATTAAAGCGAATGCAGTTTGAGGCTGTAAGTGGAGTCGTTGGCTCGCGTCTTGATCTGAACTAGATGCTCTATTTCGTTATTTCTCTTCAGGCCATAACTGTCGGCGAGGAGAAATCTGCCGTTGACCGTTGTCGAGAAATTATCGCAGATGGAGGCTGTGATCATACAGAACCATCATACAGTGGGCCGTTGTTGCCGATTATCACCCCAGCAACCAAAGGGTCGCAACCCAAATACGGAATCAATAAAGAATTTGTGGAAGGCATGCTTAAATGGTTCAAGGAAGGGAAGACATTACCAAGGCGGTTCGTTTGGGAGATCGTCCTGAACACATACGATATTTTGATGAAAGAAGAGAGTCTAATTGATATACCATTGGAGGAGGGAGTGATTTGTGATGTTATAGGCGACACTCACGGTGCGGTCGAGTCACGAGTCTCCCACAAGATGCGCACTTATAACGTCCTAGGTCAATTTTATGACTTACTGCATCTGCTGGAGCTGACTGGTCTGCCCAGCGAGTCGCATTGCTTGCTGTTTAATGGTGACTTCGTAGACCGAGGCTCATGGTCGGTGGAAGTTGTGACAACATTATTTGCCTACAAATGTAGGATTTTCAGCCCATGAATCCTACTTCCGTGCTGATATCTGCTGCTGAAGGGCTGTATCCGAATCGGGTTGGGCTGAATAGGGGCAATCACGAAACAAAGGATATGAACAAAGTGTATGGCTTTGAAGGGGAAGTGCGGCACAAGCATGGAGAGCAAACTTACAAAGTTAGTTCCTATGTCCTGGGGCTCATCTCCCAATGATCAACTATTCGTACTAGTTATGGGCAGACGCATTCACCGCTCGTGGGTAGTTCTACCTCATCCCTTTGTCTCAAGGGCTGATGGTACTCGCCTTAGTGCCTCTTGCAACTATGGTGTCACCAAGGCTACCGCCGAAAACCAGCCATGACGCAGCACACGGATCGCCAATCCTATCACCCGAAGGTCGGAAGCGATTCTTCGTCGTCCATGGCGGTTTGTTTTCCAAAGATGGGATTACCTTAGATGAGGTTCGTAAAATTGACCGGCTCGGAAAGCAACCCGGAAATGAGGGGTTGATGTGTACGCGTTTGTCATTCCATTTGAAGTCTGGTTGTTGATTAGTGTTTCATTTCTTTAGGCGAAGTATGCCCCCCCTCAGTCCCATTCAACACTCTACTGATTCTATCTAGCTTTTGTGGACTGACCCTCAAGAAACCAATGGGCGGGGCCCTTCAAAACGGGTAGGTATCCAATTCTTCTGACGACCCATCCATCGCCCTGATAGCCATATCCAGGGTGTTGGCTTAGGGTTCGGTCCCGACATAACAAAAGCATGGTGTGAACTTAACAGCGTCACCGGGGTAATACGCAGCCACGAAGTCAGACAGGGGGGCTATGCCATAGAACATGGAGGGCTTTGCATCACCGTGTTCAGCGCTCCAAACTATGTCGATCAAGGGCAGAACCTTGGCGCATACGTAAGACTCATCACAAGTGCCTCTGAATGATTCCCACTCATAATCCACACTAGCTACGGATTGATGCAGCCGGTGAGCGATCTTATCATACTTTCAAAGCCAGTCCACACCCGCCATTGCGTCCGATGGCGTACAGCAATCCTGGGCTTGCAATGTTCGGTTGAACTAATAGGGCTACACAGTTATCTTTGGGATATAAGCAGTAGGTTTATTATTGCAGGATCACTTGCCATGCGACCTCATGGATCATCCCCGTGGTTCTTATTTATTTTAGAGTTGGTTATACCAATCAATGTTGCGGTTTAAGCGCCCTCGCGTGCTCATTCTGGAAAATTGCCTAGATCGTAATACATCAATGTCATGCGTTTTCACATAACGGAATTTTCCGACATTTCCCAAGCGTTCAACGAGATGAGTAAGGCGAAGCCTTTTTCAGATGAGAAAGGGCATAATGAGTACAAGTATACACAAGAGATATCCCAAATGGTGAACCACACCGGTTGATCATGTCCAATGCGAAATTGACACCTTCATGTCAGATGTTCGTGTTCGGAGAGGTTCAGGATCCGAATCTTGTTGCAGTTAACCTGGTTGAAGACATCGTCAGAACCCAGGTTCTAGAAATCGTAACGTCGCTTCTTCGCCCAGTCTTGGCCTCACCACCCAAGCTGCACCTCAACGCAGGTTATCCAAGCTCGATTGATGTCGGCTAAACGAGGCGCAAGACACATATCCCCTGAAGACCTGATATTCATTATCCGAGACGATAAAGCAAAAGTAAATCGCCTCAGAACCTATATGAGTTGGAAGGATGTCCGAAAGAATGCAAAAGAGCCCGGAGGCGATGGGAAGGCTGATGTGGACGACGCCCTGGATGACGGTGCCGACGGTATGGTCATAATTGTGTGCCCTCTCGCTCTACTAATGCCAAACCCCCTTAGAACCCAGCGCTACGAAAACTCGAAAACGCATCATCAAACTTTCATGGGATATTACGACAATATATTCGGACGTATTCAAAACGCTAGCTGCTGCCAACCCGGGCAGACATATCGGTCATTCTGATGACGAGGATGAGGATGAGATGGAGGCTCACGAGGACAGCGTGAAACGTCTCAGGGTGAGGCATGTTTGCTTCATCCTACAGCTGATCTAACCAAGGCGCATAGGATGCGGATGAGGCGACTCGGAATATGACAAAGGAAGAATATATGCATTATTCAGACTGCCGACAAGCCTCCTTCACCTATCGCAAAAGTGCGTAGCTATGGGATTCTGGCCCAATGGCCGTTGCTTAAATAATCTGTGTCATTCAGCTAAGCGATTTAAAGACTTCCTCAATCTCCCTCAACAGCTTGAATTACGATCGGATGACACGATTGACATCCTTGGCTTCCTCGCCTTCGAAATCGTTCGCGCTCTTACACTAGGCGCTCTCGAAGTGAAACGTTCGCTCGAAGATGCCGCATACACGAACGTCGCAGCGGTAGCCGCTGCCGCTGCCGCCGCTGCTGGAGCATCGGCTGGGCCTGATGTCAGTAAGAAGCGCAAGGCACCTGTTCAAGGACCTACTTCAGGCGCATCCCCTTCCATGCGAGCCTCGAAACGACTGCGAGCAGATGGGACGGAACTCGAAGACAACATGAATGAGGCTCCTTGGGGTGGTGCTCCAACCCCAACTAGTTCTCTCTTTCTTGCGCCACCTGAAGCGCGGACTCCCTTAACTCCGCAACACATTCAAGATGCATTCACGAGAATGCAACGAGACCAAAGCCAAATCAAGCGAGCTGGTATGCGGAACTGGAGAGGTGGACTTGTTCGAACTCGGATCGGCCTTATTTGAGCGGCTTAATCTCTTGCATGCATCCTCATCAGCTCATGATTATACCCACAAAGACACTGACGTATTCCTTGCTGCACATTGGGATCTGTATCATTACCTTGTGGACATTAGTGTACAGGCGCGGCGCTACCAACAGCATTAAACCATAAACTATAGCTCCAACTCATCGTAGACGTCCGCCATCAAACTCTCCCTGTAATGCGGATGGCGCTCGGTAGGATGAAAACTATTTAGCACTTCCTCCCCGTGCCCTTTATGCTCTGACACAAACGCAGCAGCAACCGTCACTGCCCGTGTTTCTTGTATGATTCTTTCAGAGGTTTCCTGCATCATGTACGCAACTTGTGTTTTGCTTTCGTTATCCGTCGTCACCGTTTGACTATCAGGTTTGCTATCGGGACGAGCGTTGTTCCACAAATCCCTGAGCTCAAGCTCAAGTGGAAGGAGCTCGTTATCGAGTAAATGAGGCCAGGTCCCTGTATGCGATTAAATATTTAACGTCGCACCATTGGTGGACTTGTACTCACGCAGAACTTCCGAAACATGTGGAGTGAGTTGTTCCTGATGAACCACACTCGCATGTATCCGTTCTCTGGTGTCATGGTCAATAGTGATTTGTCGTTTCGCTGCCTTTCCAAGTGCAAAAATCCCCCGATTCGAGCGGCGTGGTGGCTGGGTGGCCCATGAGCCCACAGGACGAGGCAGTGATTTCACATATTTGCTGTCTAGTGCGAGCGTGTCTTCGACTTGTGCCTTTATTAGGGTGTCAGTAGGTAGCCTGGTTCGTTTGGTCGCTACTGCTCACAATCATCCAGAAAAGTGCGATGTCTGACAAATCGTGGTCTTCGTAGCCTCCGCCAACGTCGCTATGGCTCCCAGTAAACCAGTATTGCTTCAAGACCTGTTTCTTGGCACGCCCCCGTTCTGTCTGGTGAAATTTGGTAACGTCCTATCCACCAGGAAAAGTTATTGGATGCTCATTCCATTCGATAGACCCCACTTACAAAATTCGCTCTTTCCTCATTGAGCGCCATGGCGTGATAGGCCCTTTCAATATGGTGGCCGAGGATTTTATCGGGGAAATCAAAGAGTCCCCTGATCTTCGCGTGGGTTCCGAATTCCACAGGTAAACCGAGCGCGCCGACGGTATCAAATACTCCCATCACTCTAAAGTGAATGGATAGCTGCTGAGGACTAAGAGCGCAACACGAAGAACGCACTTGATAGAAAAAGGCTTTTCGCCGACCTTCGCAAGCCCTCCTGATTGGAATGGTTTTAGAATGTCATCATACTCGGCTCTTTCTGAGCCAATACGGTGATAAGTCGTTTAGTTGCACTCTGTGAAAGACCAACGTTTCGGATCGTCCGTCTTGCCCCTCTTCTGATAAGAAATGAAGATTTCAGCGAAATGGTCCATTTCGCCCCGATCCAAAACCCCTATTTCGCCCTAGGGGAGAATACCTAAGGTCGGTGATGTTGGTGAAGCATATATCTGCTCACGATGAACATTGCAACCATTCGGGCAGTATACGCTCCCTGGTAACTCTTTCTTGAGTTGGGCATACATTAAACGATGTTACGGCTTACCCGTGAAAAGCCGAACAAGAATATCTCGTCTAAGATGATTCTCATACGTTATTTTGAAATTTCACAATAAAGGTGTTGGCATACCGCCAGCGCAGTAATTTCTATGGGATACTCATACTTCAATGGAGGAAGAATTAGTGTTTGCTGTATGTGAACGTACTGTGCTATGAATGCGTATGCTTCCTGCACCTTCTCGGCTGCAGTGCATGTCGAATTATCAGTAGTGTATAGTTGGATCAATTCACGGACCTAAATGGGATCCAAAAGCGCCTAATAGTACGTATGTAAGTGCGGTTTGTCCATTTGAGTGAAAACGACAATTACCATCAATCAAACGATCAAGCACGTTGGGTACGGTTCCCAGTCCAGACTGATAGAACACGATCTGAGGTATATGCTTCCCGCTGGGATTTTAAATGAGCGCCCAAAGCCGGAGGACGGTTTATCATGCACTCACTGCCTCCTGTCTTCGTGGCTGATGCTTCGTGCTGGCCGATGTACGTGGATGAGCAAGCATGGTACATGGGGGTGAAACCGCGAACCCACAAAGCTTCAACACGTTAGAGTATCTCCAACGACGTGTTTCGGACTTTCCGTCCAACCAAGTCCTTACATGACGCGTCAGTGACGACATAGACGTTGCTCCGAACTTGCTGACCCATCACAACAAACAATGATACGCTTTGGAGTGCGAGGCAACGGCAGGGACACGCTTAAAGGTAAAGGGGACGTAGAGCTCTTCCTAGGGTCTAACTTTGGCGAACCCCCGCCTGCAAGTCGTCCGGGGGATACAATCGCATCTGGGGGACGCGCTATCTTCGAGGGTGGATTAGACACTGGTTGCGGCGATTCGCGTGCTTCGATAGATTCAGTTGAAGGCTATGAGAGACCTGAGCGAGCTGATAGTGAAGCTAGAGAACCGCCTGTTCACCTCTCTGGCCAGTCTGGGAGGGGGATTCTTTGAACGCCTCCCCTCTCCCCTTTTCCTATTCCAGAATGACAATCGCGATATTAAAGCCACCCCCGACCGGCGCCTCCCGCAGTGGGTGGCCCGGGAGGTTGTTCCTGTGCTTGCGCGTGTGAAGCCTCATGGGATGATGGTGACTTGTTCTCACAGTCGTTTGCATGTTGTGCAGCTTCGAACAACATGCCGAGACAGGGGACAGATTACGAAAGCAAGGATTGCCAGGTGATCACTCTCGTTCGGTTACCAAACTAGGAAGGCGCCCAAGGTGGGCAGCAATAAGATTTGTCGTAGGACGAATATGCCAGCGGAGCAAGTAGTGTGAATCACGACAGTCAACAAGCAGGTCTGACCCAACTCTAGATCGCCTTGACATCAGCAATTTTGCTTCCGCTCCGACGTTGCACAAACTTTATTTAGCGTTCATCTCGGTCCCGCAGCGAGTAATTCCAAACATAGGTGAAATTGCAGACGTAACGTACATGACCCAGATGCATCTGCGAGATACAAGCCCGGAGCCGTACGAAAAGGAATCGTGAGACAAATCAACTCAAGATCCGCGCCTGGAATTCTAGACCGCGACGGGGCGCTGGGAACCGACGCAGTCATCGAACCGAAGGAGGCCATGCCTGCAGTCAGAAGGCCGGGAGACTGGGGACTGGGCCATGATAAGAGGAGTGGCCCAAGCTCCCATACTTACAGCAGCACACGGCACACCTCGGGGTGTCGCAAAGAGAAGTAATAACGCAGGGTGGTCCCCTTACTAGCCAGAATATTTGACTTTCATGCCTCGGTTGCGCAAGGAAGCTTCCAACGCTAAAAGAGAGGCGGATCAACGTCTCGCGCATCAGAAATACACAGAACAATCAGACTTTTGAGCTCTTCAGCCTCCTCTCGCTGGCCGTAGTTGAGAACGAGCTGCTTCAGTTGTTGATGTTCGACCTTGTCTTGCAATTGTGCGCTCTTCGTATGAAGTGCCAAAGACGAATCCTCAGGTATTGGCAACTCCCGAGTCTGTGAAACATCCTCACCCGTCAGTTCACTAGACACAATGTATAATGGTTGTTTGACTCGCCTGCTGTTTATTGCCCTTTCTAGAGATAAGAGTAAACTTCATCACTCCGGGTTCGCTATTCGCCGAGTTATCGTTGGCATCATCCACATCGGTCCTCTTCTTGCGCCCAACAACTCCAACAGCGCCGCTCAACGTCGAGGAGTCCCACATCGCCAAAGCAGTGCGTTTATCTACCCTTCGCGAGTCAGAGGATGTGTCGGAGAGCATTTTAGCCAATTCTTTCGCAAACTCAGCCTCCGCCTCTTCGGAGGGGCCTTGATTTTCGGCAACCGCAAGTTTGACAGGCGCATCGCCTTCCGGTGAGATTGACCCATCCTGACCCTAAGGCAAGTCAATTTCAGGTGGTCTTCATCAAGCACTAACAAACCTGATCCTCATCAATAGATCCTTCCTCTTCCTCATCTCCGCGTCGGACGTTCCCGTCTTCGTCCGCGCTGTCGGCTTCGCCATCTTCCGCTCCACTTGCTGTATCAAGGCGTTAGCGGGGAGTTACGGCATTTCCTGCTAAACCACATACATCCAATTTTCAGCGCGATTGTGGCGAACATGTCATCAACTGCAGTTGCTGCCTCCTCGAGTGTGGTCGGTGTCTTCATCTTTGGACGTAACGCCTGAGTGAACGATGAGCTTCGCATTTGGAAATCTCAGGAAAAGGGCGGACCTCTATGGTGTCTGACAGCATGAACTTGACGTCCATGGGGAGTGGTTCTTTGCATAATACATAATACTAAAGAGAAATAGTATGGGTGTCGGTATGCTCGACATTTTTAAGCATCCCTACCTGGAAGAATACGAGGAAAGAATCTAGTTTCTTCCTGAGAGACCCTCTATCAAAGCACATTCCACATCCATCCAGCAAAATACAGATTAATCTGATGCGGAAGAAGTCGTCTGGTGCGTCGAGTGCGCTCGGTATTGTTGGGTGAGGACGTCCTTCCGCTACGCCAGGGAAATGAGCGGGAGGGGCCATAGATTATCTCCAACTCACCATGCCCAAAGGTTACAAGTAACCAAAGAGTGTCAAAAATGATCGATGAGGTGACCAGTCGATAAATATATAGCTCTCCGAGGAGTTTGATAGTAGCCACCCGTCGCTGATTGAATTTATAAAGGTTCGTCTACGTAGGGATCGTCAGCTTTTAACCTTGCAGCTGAAGTAAGCTATATGTACTTCGAGGCCACGACGGACGTCTTCCAGCACTTGATCAATGACATCGACGACAAAATCGGGATGATAGCGTTGCAAATCATACGTGAGCATTGATAACAAGGCGATGTTACTAAATTTGATCTTCCATGGCTTAGTGAAGACTTTGTGCAGCCATTGTTGAACCTGAAAGATCTCAATTAATTGAGGATACACCAACTTGCATGAATCACCTTAGCATCCTCCCAGTCGAGCTTTCTGATAAGCCGAAGGACTTTGTCGATCGTCCTCTTCGCTAAAACATCGAATATTAGATGGTGGATAAACTGCTCCATGGGTGTGCGCTCCTTCTGTTGTCGCGGAGCACGTTCTGGAGGGTTGCACTAACACATGCATGAGTACATCTGATCTCTCGGTCGGACTTAAACGGGAAATTATATGCTCACTAAATAGTACGCGTTCTCCAAAGCAAGAATTTGGCGCTGATCTAAATGCTGGGTACTTTGCTTTCGGCGCATAAGTTCCACCTAAATCATGTCAGAATTGAGGATGTCATAAGTGGTGGAAGTAGCAGTCCCGCCCACCATAGACACCATCCTGGCCTTTGTTGGATCGGTACGCATCAAGTATCTTCCACATCCTTCAAGAAGCATCGCAGTATTATCGATGTTAACCCCCGTGAAATCGTCCAAAAACACCTTGAAAACGTGTAGGATCAAATGAGGCGGGATCAGTCCAAATTTTGTGAGAGCAGATAAGAACATGATATTCTACATGAAGGGTTATATGCCTTAGCAACAAGTTACTAACGGTGTGCGCTAGACGTACTTTCTGGCGCATCTCCGCTAATTCCTTGACAACGTTCTTCTTACGCTGGAGGTAACGAAACTCGTCTTCAAGCTGGCATAGAAATGTCAGAAATCATTCCAAAGCTTTGGTGAATGGACGAACCGCACTGATAAGCTCCGTGGCTATCTCAGGCATATATGGATTAAGCGTTGCCACCAGTCTTGCATAGTGAGGGAAAAGATCCACCCTGTTCTTCGGGACTTGTGATAGGAACTGAGTACAATCGATATCAGACTTGGCGCGTGTTGAGCATCAAGCCTTACCTTACCAAGCCGCTTCCTCGCAGCCTTGGAGTTGAGAAAAGCGAAATCCACCGCAAGTTGATCAATCATGGAGCGATTGGTCGCATCTGGTAAACGCGCTAGGAGCGTACTGAGAAGCGCAGCGGGGGCGGGAGCTGTCGGGACCACCGATGCATCCTGCGGGGCATCGACGGCGGCAGTAGAGGATGGAGACTCTCTAGGGAACGGAGTGAGGAAATGCTAGATCAAAGGCGCTGCACGCACTCGACATCCTGCCCATCCCTGACGTTGTCCGAAAGTTTGACATCGTCTTCAGTCACTTCCGACTTGATATTTTCCATCTCGCTCTCCAGTCTCCTAATCTCACTATCCTCATGTTCTTTTCTGTGCGCTTCTTTTGCCTCCTGGTCATCAGCCTCTGCAAGTCCCCTGGAATCTTTGGATCCGGTGGAGGGTCCATCGACGTTCAGAATGCTGATTGGCACGAAATCTTTCAGATCTACGAGATCTTCGTAAAACCTTTGTTCTTCCTCATCTTCCCACTTCCCAACGCCGAATACTTCTTCAATATCTCCCGTGCGAGAGGGATCACCGTCGCGCAATAATATTTGTGATGCTGACTGCTCAGCGGCCGTTGGAAGATGGGGAAGTGGTAAGTACAGGAGCTCTGATAGACTATAAGCAGAAGAGTTGTCAGAGTGAGAAAAGGATTCGTTGGCCTGGGGTACATACGCCTGACAACTCGCTAGTGACTTTTCGTAGCTTTTGGTCATCTTCTCGTAAGCCTGTTGACGATCTTCAAATATTTCCCCAGAACGAATGTATGCCTCATGGTTACGCCGATCCTGCTCTTGAAGTCTCTTTATTGCGTCGCCACATGTCAGTGTCTCGACAACAGTGTGCATTATAAGCGCGTACCAGGTGCTCCTTAACCAACTTCTTGGAAATTGAATCAAAATAGCCCTCGCACATACGCTTGAAGCGTTCTTGTATCTCCTTTTCGACAAGTGCATCAGAGTCCGACAGCTGCGGTTGGGACTGGTGGGAGTCACTCTGAGCGGCCTCTGATTGCGTTGTCTCCGAAAGTGTAGCACCATTTCCCTTCGTTGCTACCTGCTGCTTAGATGATGGTGGAGGATGAAGCCCGAGATAGGGAAAAGAATAAGACTTGAGAAACATTCCAAGAATGGGAAGAGATGAGAGCGACGGGTCATTCGACAACTTCAATGGGAAAGGTAACAATTAGGCCACATTGCAATCCTTGAACTTGCCTCCAGACGTACCAAATCCTTAACGACCTTCATGATCCGTCCACCTCCACTTTTTCCAGGGCCATCACAGATAATACCAACCAGCGCTAGTTCAGAGCAAACTCGCAGCAAAGATCTTTGGCGTGAAACCCTGGAAGACTCCTCTCTGTCTCGCTGTTCTTGAGATAGAGTGGACAAGTGACTCTGGGATGGCGGCGCCAGGCTCTGCAAGAAAGAAGCCACCAGAGGGACAGTGAACGTTTCAGGAAGCCTTCTGTGGATAAGAGAGATAACCTATGACAGATAGAATATCAGGTCTTTGCGATGATTCTGCATATGTTATGATTTCACGAACTTGCACGGTGCTCCATGCGTCCTTGTCATTCTTACACTTAGTGGCACCCTCAAGACACGCTGAAACGATCTCCTCCGTATACTTCTCAAGTGCAAGTGATTCTACGTCCTTCACGATCTGATCATGATTCTCCACGCCCATAGATTGCCTTAAACGTTTAATAAGGGTGGTATGGCGCTTAAGCGAGGAGTCAAGCGTTTTGACTTCTGCATTGAATACATCACCAATGGCTCCAGGGTCAATGCACAAACCGCTCCGCACCAGTATCATGTGTCTTCCGATTCAGCTCCCTTAAAGCTAGACGTCTTGATCGTTTCGATAATTCCTCATCATCCCTTGAGGAGTTCATGATGAAGTTCACGCTGATAGTGTTGCAAGAAGCTAAGGATTGGGTTCAAGAAGCGCCAGGATCACGTGAAAGCAGGGAATCGTTGAAACATAGGTGCCGGAAGACCGATGGGCAAGAAGAACAAAAATGGTCCCCAATCGCAAACACTGAGCATCCCAAACAAAGAACTCATCCAGCGCATGAGCTTTTTGTATCAATCTACCGTGTACCTCGGTGCACTGTCTAATGCGACACCCCCTACATCCCCTTCGAAAAGACGATCTTTTTCGAATCTGGCAAGAAACCAGGCCAGCATTCTCCGGAGCATTGGAGCCAAGGCACAAATCAGGATGTGCGTCCCCCTCCGTTACGGCGCTCCGCTTTAGAGCCTGAGATTGTGACGTAGGGATCCAGCCGTCAAGAGATCAATGTGTAAATCTTGTAACAGTATCCTGATCCCGGGTAGTACTTGTTCCACACGTATCAAGAGTAAGTGAGCAGCTATTTACGACTAATGCGTGGGGATTCAAGAGATCATGAAGGTTCTCCCATACATGGGAATCGACGAACCACCACATGTCTCAATTGTCATACTTCCCGGTCAATTCCATCTCCCCCCGAACCGAGGGATGGAAAAGAAACTGCTTCTAGTCTGATCGGACACTCAGAAATGCTTAAGGAGCCCATCGTGACCGATGCGGTATCAGACGACGAATTAGAGAGGTGTCGTCAGAAGCTGGAGCGTCGAAAAAGGCCGACTTCCAAGAGACCGATCCTCAGCGAGAGAGATGTTGGCCACATCCGCCTTCGTGGGAACGAGGTCATCCCATGACACCCCTTACCATTGGCACTCCATTGGTGAAATGGCGCGGTTTACTTTGCACTTGGTGTCCCAGCAGGGTTTTGAGCGAAATACCAAGAAACTGAGTGCCGCTTCCCTATTCCCATGGCTCATGTTGGACGTGTTGCTATCGGTGTTCCAATGCCTGGAAGTGCACAGGTTGAATTGCTGTTGCACACCAGTGATCCACCATTCGACTTGGGACACGATTGAATACAAATGGAAAGAAGAATCATATGTAATGTAGCTAGTGAGCAAACCCTATGGAACAGATTAATTGCAGTTCTTTTGTGCAACGGGCGACTCGGAGCAATGGAGTAGCGTGGCGACGACCCCCGACAAAAAGTCGAAGTCTCTGAAATTTTAAGCGACCTCCATTAAATCCGCTTTGATCTGAAGTCCCATACACTGCAATGATTCATTTAACCTGGGTTCCGTAAAGTGGGGTAGCGGTGGCGAACTCACCGCGTAGTTATCCGCATTGTTCACCTTTTCCGAGTCCAGAGTCCGCACAACCATAGACAAAGTCCGCAGTCCTCCCACTGAGCTAGGGTTCTTCCCATTGAGTATTTTGTTTTGTGTGAACTTTATTTAACGTACCTCGTGCAATAAACATTGCCTCGAGTACTGCTGAAGGCCGCTCCACTGCAAATGGCACTCTTTGGCAAGAAGCTGAAGAACAAGTCAAATCTAATCATTGGACCATCAGGCGTTGAGCACAAAACCCCCGATAAACAAATAGAATGAGTTGGAAGTAACCCCGCTGGCCATGGTTCCATTTCCACCCAGGTACGTATATGGGATAGTTGCGGGGTCACGTCCACAAACACCATATGGGTCATTACAATGCAACCTTTGGAAGTGTTCTACATTCATTAGTGGATTGAAGGATTTGCCAGATGGTATATACATGCATGCGGATTCCAGAGCTGTTGAGATCACCTGCGATCTGTCGAAGAGATACCAAACTGTCCCAGCAGGGTTGGGTCTCGAACTGGCTTGGGTGACAAAGTATTCCTGGTTGCCCTTATATATATCCACGAACTGTTGGATGAACGACGTGCCTGGTATATACGCGTATCGTACTCGTATCACTCATATCAGTCATTGATCTTATACCCTTTGTTTATATGCTACATGCTTCACTGTTGCGCTACATTGCTACGTTCCACATATGCACTTATTCGCATCTCATCTTCCAGGTCCCCAAATCCCATCGGTGAACGGTTGGACACGGGGGCAGGTCAACTGGCGACGAAAGGTGAAACCACTTCATCAGAGACCTGTGCCGCGAGTTGAATCACAGAGCTCGCTAGTCCATGACCACAGACTATGAGATTCCGTGTACGGGATGGTTAAGAGGAAGAACACGACGAGGGCGTAATCGGCGTTCGTGGTTGTGCACCCACCATCGACAGTTGTCCTCTTTGGGCATCAAACAATTGGCTAAAACCCAGAGAGAACACTGCTTTGGTAAAGCGACCCCCTGATTGTCAAAGCGCAGTGCACGATGCGCCCTGTCGCCACAACTGATGAAAAGAAACGCAATACGCCTCACCGGGGTCCCTATGTAACCGGATCATACGACTACGAAAGGCCGGACCAGTCTAAACTGGTGCTAGCGGGTTGCCGTTGCAGCTGACATCGAGTTCAAATTTCAGGTCGAAGATTACGAAGGAAGTGAGATTGCCGCCTGATCCCTGGCACAACAGAATAGAACAAGTGCCTGCTGACGTCAACAAGCACATCGTAGAATGATGGTTACAAAAGAGACTGCCACATTCATCTAAAGCCGCATCATATCAGCATAGGCTTCGAGATCACAAGCACTATAGCTGTAGAGTCGATGCCAGCTGCCGATCCTACGTCAGCTGCCATCTCAATTTGAGAATGGCACGAGCGGCGTCAATAGTCCGAAACAATATGAAAAATGTAGCCTTGATGAACCAATTTAGATACTGTACATCTATCAGTCTTGGCAAGTGATGTTTAGCATAGGTTGGAGGAGTTCACCGCTTCACAGGTACGGAGGTCAATGCCTAATGGTAGCAACAGGTCATTTGAAACCCTAACTAGAGAAAAAAATCCCAAACAAGAGAAAAGCACTCACAGCTCTAGTGGTTTCATATATCCTCTTTTGGCCTGCGAAGAGAATTGCAGCGGTTAGAACGGATTGCACGAGCTTACTCCCCACGCCTTTGTACAGGCCAGAGACGCCTTCCTCTTTGATGACGGTGAGGATGCCATCTATCGAGGACTTGTAACGAAGAGCAGAGTCGTGACCGGCTTGTAATCGTGATTTGATGACAATCTATGATAATGATGATGTCGCGTCAACGGAGGGGAGCCGATGAGGGGAGAACAATGATCATACATAGGGATAAGTCGCCGAGGTCGCCACTGTCCGAAAAATCACGTCGAAGAGTCAGAAAAGACAATCCAACATGATTCTGAACTTGACGTGCCTAGTTTGGACACTGCCCCAAGGAAGAAGAAATCAAGGTCACTGAGCACAGCCACAACTCTTGACAACCCTGTCTGCTCTCTCAGCCTAGCGGTCCTCCTAGCAATGAGCCAGTTTTTAAGTTGCTCAAATATCGTGTACTACAAAAGGACAGAGGGGTAGTGAATGCGCCTTGGACTCATACGCAGTGTAAATTCACGCCGACCTGGATAATTGGATTAATTACCAGGACCAGAGCTGGTCCGATCCCCCGCCAGAAAGCACCAATCCCACCCTTTTTAAGAATGTATTTAACGGTCTGAACAAGATTCAATTTCTTGACAGACGGTGAAGTTGGGAGCGATGACTCTTCCTGGACCGTTTGGACGGCCTGAGTCGTCTGTACAACCCAAATAGGGTTGGAAATGGCCGTAGTTGCTGATCCCGCAATGAGGCCTATATAAAATAAACAAGGTGAAGCCTGGATGCGCTATACGATAAAATATGCGGTGCTCACCAGCAAGCATTGACTCGGGTGTTGTCAGAGCCTGTGACACACCCTTTTCACGACCCTTGAGAATAATCTCCCGAGATTTCTCGTAAAAATAGTAATAAACCCTGAGGACATTGCGAGTAAGACTCCAGAAATAAGAATTATGGTGTGCGCGACGTACCCATTCGTGATGCCAATCCCAAGCAATGAACTGTTGAGACCACTGTACATGCCTGCCACACCTTCACTCTTTATAATATCAATGACCGCCTCGTATGTGGACTGCACTTATAACAGTCAGCTCCAACGTCTCCTGTACCTATTTGACAACGTACTTTGTCCTTGCCCCTAACTTGGACAGCTGCACGTGTTGACAAGAAGATGAGAGGGCTATCAGATTGAAGTGTTCACGCAAGATGTCAGAAATGACGCGCTTAGACATAGTCGCGATCACGACAGGCTTCACGCACTAGGTCAGGGTCATCGCAAAGATGCCGGCGGCGGCACCGCTTGTGGCATGAATCACGGAAGACATTTCCAAAGTGACTTGAATCCCTTGGGAGAGAGAGAGAAAGGAGCTTAACGATGGGGTTCTGTGCGAGCTGGCCTTGACCGTGACACCGCTCCAACTTTCACTTGACCTCCAAGGTCCGAAGTAACCGGGTCCCAAATTAGGATAACGGGTCACGGGACTGACTTCAATAACCGAATTAGTGTTGTTATATAGCTTTTGCCTCTCCCGTTATTAGTGTACAGTAGCTGCCGTGCGCTACGTACATCCATATTGGGTTAGTCATAACAACACAAAGATTAATAATCATGAATGGCGCAACTGACTTTTGACAGCCAAGAAAGGAGATAATGGCGCCACAAGGCTCAACTGGCCCACAGTGTGCGTCCATAACCAAGAAATCCAAGAGTATCAGCGGTTACTCAGAACCATAGCCTTTCGTTACCAGTATTTTTGTGAGATTTTACTCAACCACCTAGAGAGACGCTTAGTCAAGGTTGAATTAACAGCAATCGAAGCGATTGGGAAGCGATGACAAAGCCGCGCGAAGCCTCCCTGACCTGAAATATTATTCTCGCCGCCAATACAGTACGACCTGGCTTGGTCGGAATTTTTCCTCTCGTCACTACGGCTGTCGAGCCTGAAAGATCATGTCATCGCCATCTCACACTAATCAGACCAAGATTCTCTTCATCCTCTCCAGCGCGAACAGGACCCTTACTGGTGAACCAACTGGGTGGTATCTTCCCGAGGGTGCGTTTGATGGGAGCTATCGAAGGATATTAGCAAAAAAAAACCAATCACTTCCTTCTTCGTAGCCGCCCATCCCTACTATCAGTTGGTATCCCAATACAATGTCAGTACACGTTTGCCAATTCGTCCAAACGAATGATAATGATGGGTCCTTTGTGTGAACAAAGATCACCTTTGCGGCACCCCTAGGTCCCAACCCGCCCCTCGATCCCAAGAGCGTCGAGCTATTCAAGGAAGATGCAGAGTCGGTTAAGTTCCTCAACGATGAGGTCGTCAAAGGCAAACTCGCTTCTGCCCTTGTCCTGAAGGAAGTCAGCGTTACCGAATATGACGTCATTTTCTACGTTGGAGGGTGAGTTCGACAGAAACAGTTGTCCCCATAATCACTCCCGTTGATGATTGCGCCATCTGAGAACAGTCATGGACCCGTCATTGACTTGTCAGTAGATCAAGACAACCAAAAGTTGGTCGAAGACGTACGTCAGGATCGTGTCACACTGCCCGTCCCCCTGCTATGAAAAAAGCCGCTCACTTCTTTGCTTAGGCTTGGCACAAGGGAAAGATCATTTCAGCAGTCTGCCACGGCCCTGCTGCGCTTGTCTCCGCCGAGACGCGCTACATCTTAACTAAGAATTCGATTCTCAAAGGAAAGCGTGTCACCGGTTTCTCTAATGTCGAAGAAGGGCTAGCTGGAACAACGAAGACCATCCCATTTCTACTTGAAGACCGTATCAAGGATCTTGGTGGATTGTATGAGAAGGCGGAAAAGCCTTGGGACGTAAGTCGTGACAGGAATACTTCACACTTGGCGCTTTAGTCATCCTGACGCCCAATTTTCAATCAATATTCAAAGGCGCACGTTGTCGTCGATGGGAATTTGATTACAGGCGAGTCTCTTCATCCCACTTTCGGATGTAAGTAAATCTGAGCATGGATCCCCCACTATAACAGGTCAAAACCCAGCATCTGCGCGTCCCCTTGCGCAAGCAATCGCCCAGGAGCTAGCCAAACGCGTCAAAGCAGTTCCAGCTTGATGCTTTAGTTTCAGAAAAGATCATCGTCCCATGCAGTGATGCCACAAGCATTTGATCAATATAAAGTAACTCAGAGGCTGTATCCAACGATGTGATAATGACCTCTAAAATGCCTGTATACTGCGATCTCGTTGATCAAACAAACCCGCTGGCTAAACTGGTGGTTGCTAAGCAATGTTTTCCAGTTGAACAGTGTCTCCCCCAAATTGCAGATGTTGGAGCATTGCGAGGTAAAAATGAAAATTTGTGGGGCTATCACGCGACCCCCCTGCCCCACTCGGCGCAAGCTTGAAGCTGTCATTGAACAAGAGTTGCGTATGCTCAATCGTGTATTGGCAAGCTGCTAATATGCAAAGACGGGGAGAATCGCCACGGACGATCAGAGGACAGTTCAGAAGGAAAACAGAAAAGCAATGTGACAAGCCGCAATTGCAATCGATTTTAAAATTTTATAGAGGGGAGAAACCAAACAAAGAAAGGTATACCGAGATAGATAAATATCCGATGTCCTCAATCCAATGATAGAGTGTATATGGATGCGTGTATGTGATAAGAAAAATGCTGCATAAAAAAAAATCCAAAGTATTAGATCACCGTGGCCCTACAGCACCATCGCAGCGCCAGCTAAAACACCCATCAAGCTGCCCACAGCGCCAACAAGGTTGTTACTGATCGAAATCTTAGACGCACTCCCTCCTGAACCTCCTGAGTTGGTGGGGGATTTCGGGTGTGATGTGACGGTTTGAGTTTGAGACGATGTGCCTGTGCCAGAGGTGGTTGGGTTCCCACCACCGGCATTCTGATTGGCAGTGGCGAACCCAACAGATGCCGGACTTTGACGGAACACGGTGTAAACGTTCTTCATAAAACTATCACCAACAATCCAGTCGACAGGGGACCCTGTGGAGGTATTCAATTCGAAGATGGCTGTTGGAGATTAGGAGAGGAAGTGGAAGTGAATACTGAAGCCGAATAAAAGGGATAATTTTTTTTTGGACGCACATCCTATGCAGTCAGTGGAACCCTGGGTGGCGGGAAGCGAGAAATCGTCAGACTTGATGCTATACGACACCCCTCCAAAGGTAAAAGCGACTTGTGGGGCGGCTGAACAAGCTGCGTGAAGCGATGGCTGTCAGTGGGAAAGGCTGTTCTTCCGCGCGTCCAGATCGAAGGTTGACTTACGATACGTCCAATAACCGGCATTGTCTCCCGTAAGAGCCTGTGCACCATTCACTTGAGCGTAGAATGCGGCAACTCGATCACTGGGACCACCAACTACAATAAAGTTGGTTGGATAGTCAGAAAAATCTGACATTCAATTCACAGCATGAATGCCACATACTCAAAGAGGTACCGCTATGATCAATCAGAAAATGAACGGGCCAGTTAGAAAAGGGATTGCTTCAAAAAGCGTGCAATGAACTTACGTGTCAATAGCAGCGGAACCGGTGATGGAGGTGGGCTTTCCACCGACGGATATGCCATCAAGTGGAATGGCCCAATAGGTCTGTGAGGACAATGAAACGTATTTGATATCACCCGTATATTTGGCACTATCTGTAAATCCAATGTCCATGACACCACCGTCCGTCTCGATGAGCTGTGGATTTGGATCCTCGTTGTGCCGCTTGAGGAAAAACGCGAACAAAGGTTCGGACCATTGGCCGGATTTCGCTGCGGTCAGCCAAGCGGGATCTGCCTGAGTTTGGGCAATGGATGTCCACGCGAGACCCAGAAGGCCAGCACTTTGATACGAACGGGGAATATCCATTAGGTGGAACAAAAATAAAATAAAATTCGCACACTCAAGAGAGGAGTGACTTACACCTTCCCAACGGGAGGTAAGACGCCTGTAGTCATTTGGGTGATCACGGCGAAAGTTTGGGAGGTTATTGTAAATCCGCCGAAGGATACGGTCTCAGTTCCGCTGCCCAAGGAGAATTACATTATAGATTGAGCAAACGATTTTGACATGGAGTCTGTCGGAGAACTCACACGGTACCCTGCACACCGATATCCCCAGCGCCATACTGAAGAGTGATTGGATTTCCAGTGTCGTGATAAGTTGACGACTTGGTCGGGTCATACGGTTGCGTGTCGTTCAAACAGCCAGCACATTGCGGAGATACAGCCCAAAGGTCCGATGAACCTCTAACAGCGTCGGCGAGGGGAATCAATGATTGAGCCCAGCGAGGTGATCAGCGAGAACGCACGTATCAAGAACAACATTGAGACTTTGGCCTAGACAACAGGGACAACAGAAACGTGGTTAATCGATGGATCAGCCGAACAAAGAAGACGCTCACCTGGAGTCCCAAGGTTTATGACTCCCACATAGGCACTGTCAATGTCCAAGTTGGTGAGGGGAATGTTACCAGTTTTGGCACGCTTGTCATTTCCACTTATTGCCCCATACTTGAGTAAAAGCCTTTCCTTCTGTCGTATGAACCAGTCACGCCTCTGTTCGTCTGTGAGACGGTGAAAATTGCGGGAATTCAGCGGGATAGAAGTCCTCTTTCCATGGATGCCACTGGGAGATGCGAACACCAGGAGCCCACAACCCAAGAGTGATAAGACAGAAGATGCAAGCATTGGGGTATAGTTGAGAGGAACAGCCGCGCCCCTACCTTTTTAATATTCACTCGGTTCCTGGTTCCGAGTTATTAATATGCGTCACGTTCCCATAGCACAGCATCCATGCATGTTCAAGGCGGTGCCAAGGCGATGCAAATAGAAGCTGGTACATATCCTGCCCAGCGATGTAACGGCTAACACGCGCATCTATCTATAGAGGCTGCTTCAGCCTAACACGCACAGTGTGTGCGCCCAACGACGGAGAACAAGGATAAAATGTCATTTTACATAAGCCATCTCAGAAGTTGTACGTCGAACCGGTTGTTCTGCATCTCATCCAATTGCTGAAGAGAGAGGGGTATTGCCGTTGGCCAAAAATAGAGTTCTTGGCTTGCCAAGAACCAGCCTATGCCGAACTAAAGGATGGCCTGTAATAGGAGGGCTAAAGCGGGAGCTCAGTCTCCGTAAATGAAGAACTGAATTACTACGTTTAGTACTAACCTAAAGCGGGAGCTATAGTACAGAAGAGTACAGAGTAAGTAATGTAACAACTAACTAAAAGCAATGATACTGACCTCAGTCTCCGTAAATGAAGAACTGAGGAGAAAAGGAAAGTAGAGCGAAAACAGTATATACAATTATATACATTGTGTCACGAGGCAAATACGGATGTAAGAGGGATCATGTGGTGTTGGTTGGTAAGTCACGGGTCGTTGTTACTCCAACACGCCCACTCAACGCTTGTTGACTTTACCTTAGACCCAACTCCGATCTAAACTTCACATATTTTACCTGTGGCAGCGCTTTGGTGAATATGTCCGCAACCTGATCGGCTGTAGGGATATATTCAAGCTCCAAGATACCGTTCTCGATTTTCTCGCGGATCCAATGATGTCGCACATCAATATGCTTTGTTCGAGCATGGAACACGGGATTTTCGGCAATAGCGAGTGCTGATTGGTTGTCGACAAAGATTTTGACTGGGATTTCGTCGGAAAACATCCCGGAATCGTCGAATAAGTTGTCAAGGTATGTAGCTTCTTTTCCAGCATGTGTTGTGGCCATGTACTCGGCCTCTGTGCTTGATAAAGTGATTGTTGGTTGCTTCTTCGAAGATGTTAAAGAAATGGGTTAAGGGCAATCCATTTCTTTCCGTCCTTATAGACGACTTAGAATCGTCCACCTCATGTATGTAGGGCGGTTTAGTCGTGTAATTAGAATTGTCCGATGGCTGTGGAGCTTTTGACAGAAAGCTGAGGCCTCGCGGTGAATGGGAGTCTGTTACGACAGATACTTGGCGCTCGTTACGTGAGCGTACCGTGCGTGGGTGTATAGGATCACAGGTTGAGAGAATGTCCAGAGCGGGACTAGTCGAGGACATAGGGCTAGTGGGTACTTGGCGCTCGAGAGAGCGTACCGGTAGCGAGTGAGATAACGACTCCTTGAGGGAGCTTCCTGAGAATTGGTTGACGGGTACTTGGCACCCAATTGGGTGTACTGGCAACGAGTGAAATTCTAGCTCCTTGAGGGAGCTGCCAGAGGCTGGGTTGATGGGTACTTGGCACCCAGATGGGCGTACCGGCAACGAGGTATGAGACCGTTCAACTGGCGGACGGTCTGTATATGTGTCAACAGGTACTTGGTGCTCGTAAGAGCGTACCGGTGATGGAGGGGTTAGTCAATCATAGGTCGAACGACACATGGTGGGTTCGACGGCTACTTGGCGCTCGCGAGAGCGTACCGGCGACGAAGGGAACGGGCTTGTATCGAATATCCATCCATCCGTAGAATTAACCAGATGCTCACCGTAAGGTGAGACAGATGTGAACCCAGTACCTGGGCAAACGACGTGAGTCATAACAAAAGGTGATCACGCATACCTGAGTTGAGTCACGCGCGAACTCGCTGATCCGTGGCTGGAGTCGTCAACCTCGGCAGGGATGACCCATATAGACGGTGACCGAGACATACACAATCTTACACAGACAATACAGTGTTGGCACAAGGAGGTTTACAGTTGTTGCACAGAAGAGGATGGTGTGTTATTCGTTAGGTTCCGTCTTTTCGGCTCTTGCTGTACATAAACGTGACGCTAACTATTGAATAAGAAATGATCGCGAGAAATCTCGCGAAATAGAATAAATATTCCGGCCAGCACCAAAACCCAATAAGGGAAAGCTTAGTGCGGAGTGAACGTGTAAGAAAGGGGGGTAGCAGGGAGAAGGTAACAAAGAGAAGGGAGGATATGGAGAAGGAGGACCCGCCATGGTGGACGTTCAGTCGACACGGTCATGAGAGACTCCATTCCTGTAACAGAAGACCACGCTATCGCGGCACCACTGAAAATAAAGCAATAACCTGACACTGATCTCCTTGTGCTAGGATCTCCAGCCCAATCGGCATCAGAATATCCCCATACCCCCTCTTTCAACCTCTTTCCATTGAATGTCAAGACTAAGTCACGCGTCCCATTCAGATATCGGTACACCCGCTTAATAGCGGATAGGTGTTGTTGTCTGGGAGCCACAGCATGTTGAGATAATAGTCCGACAGCAAAAGAAATATTTGGGTGGGTACTGATCGCTGCATACATGAGTGACCCAAGCATCGATTGGTAAAGCGTTTGATTGATTTCTGGTGAGTTCAACTTTTCAAGTTTTAAATTTGCGGCCATTGGGGCACTCATTGGT